GTTCTTGAGAAATCCTATCACAGGTAAATAGCTGTGTGAGAATTCCAAAGTGACAGACTGAATGATGTGTAATGAACAGCTGTCCAAATAGTGAGCTCATTCCTAGTACAATAGCATTTCAGTTGTCTAAAATGACTGAGAGGACAACTACTACTGCTGAGATTTCAAATAAAACTTGATATTAGAATGTTGAAATATAGCATGCTCTGGTATTCAATACTTTTTAAAAAATATTTTTACTTATTTGAGAGAGAGAGAGAGTGAGCACAAGCAGAGGGAGGGACAGAGAGACAAGCAGACTCCCTGCTGAGTGTGGAGCCTAATGTGGGGCTTGATCCCAGGACCCTGGGATCATGACCTAAGCTGAAGTCAGATGCTTAATGGACTGAGCCACCCAGGTGCCCCTCTGATATTCAATACTTTTAAAATACAGTCTCTTTACTAGATCAGAACAAAGCAATGATGAAAAGCAGAGTTGAGCAGATAGTATAGTAGACTGAAAAGTCATTGAGAATATCTCAAAACCCCAAGTATCCTTTTTTATAACTGTCTTTGGCTCTGTCATTAGTGAGTCATTTTTTCTGGGTCAAGCATGGTCATCTCCCTCACTTGATGGAAAGTGTGGGACAGAACTAGCCTAACTGGTAGGGTTCTACAAGGCCAGATTCCAAAGTAGAGCATTTCTTTCTTTCTTTCTTTCTTTCTTTCTTTCTTTCTTTCTTTCTTTCTTTCTTTCTTTCTTTCTTTCTTTCTATTTATTTATTTATTTATTTATTTATTTATTTATTTATTTATATTTAAATTCAATTAGCCCATGTATAGTACATCATTAGTCTTTGATATAATGTTCAATGATTCATTTCTTATTTAAGACCATAGGTTAGGGAGTGAAGGGTACCATGCTCCTTTTTTTTTTTTTTTTTAAGATTTTATTTATTTATTTGAAAGGGAGAGAGAGTGAATGAGAGGGAGATGGAGAGAGAATCTGAAGCAGACTCCACACTAAGCATGACCAACATGGGGCTCAATCCCACAATTGCAAGATCATGACCTAAGCCAAAATCAAGAGTAGGGCACTTAACCAACTGAACCACCCAGGAGCCCTGGGCACCATGTTCTATGCCGTGTGAAAGCTAGAACCAAAGTTCAGCAAATAGAAAGAATGACAGGAACATAAAAATTGGTATGCAAAACTTGAATTAGGAGCCAGAAAGAGAAGACAAACATCAACAGCATGATAACAAATGTTAATTAGTTTAGGAATCATTTGACCAGGCTTGTTGTCTACAATTTTTTTTTTTTTTAAACAATCCAGATAGAGTAGTACATTTAGTCAAGTTTGAAAGGTCTAGAATGGACATACATCTTAGAGGCAGAAGGACTGGTGAGAAGGACAGAGGTTCACATGAAAGGCACTGATGTAAAATATATACATAAATAAAATCATTCTCAGTAACATGACATGTTGCTGTTTAAAGATTTTTTAATTTATCTTTTGAAATTATTAGATACAGTATCAGTAATGATTTTAATGATATAGTTTATTTTTTTTAAGATTTATTTATTTGAGAGAGAGAGAGGGCAAGAGCAGGGGAAGGGACAGAGGGAGGGGTGGGGATCAATCCCACAACCCCAATATCATGACCAGAGCCAAAACCAAGAGGCAGATGCCTAACCAACTGATCCACCCAGGTGCCCCAGTTTAATTTTTTATAAAAATGAAAGAATATAGTGTTCTGGCCTTTTTCTTTTAACAAACTTATGAATTTACCTGAGTGCCTTTAGTCCCATTTACTTAGGATAACTTAGACTGATGTTCATGGACTTGGTTAAGAATGTAGTACAATATCAATAGAAAGTTATTTCAATGAAGGAACTTTTGTCAATACTTTTAATTCAGGGGTGGCATAAAAGAGCACACACAGCTCTACTTAATAGTCTCCCTGTCATTGGATGTTTTGAGTTTGTTTCTTCTCCCTGCTTGATTTTGTTTTCCTATCTATGTAATAGAGGATTAGAGAATAGGGTTCAGAATTCACAAACTGCTGACCTATGAACTAAAGCCAACAGACTGTTCCTTTGGTCCAGGAAATGTTGTTTGCTTTTCATTTTGTTTTAAAGAGTTCTAATCCCTTTAGGGAGGGCATACACACTCATGTTTGCCTGGGGACCTACCAACCCACTCAACCACTGAGTTATATCAAGATACTATGTATTTCCTGCATGAGTCCTAAAAATGCTTCAGTTTGTCTCTCAGATTAGACATTTTGTCAAATTTCTTTAGCCTCCCGTAAGGTTTTAATTCTGTAAAACCTCTTAAGAGACTAACTGCTCTTTCCCACCCTGCATTGGTAGAGAGATAGGTGAACTGGAAGGAAATTCATACCTGGTCAAGCCTACCTGGTAGCTTCAGGCCACCTCCATGCACTATCTCATTTAATCCAAGTACTCCAGTGACATAGGTATTATCATACCTATTTTTCAGGTTATAAAATAAGCTAAGAGAAGCTAACACTTTGCCCATGGTCAAATGCTTATTAATTGTGGAAATCAGGTTCAAGCCTGTTTTGACTCTAGGTTCAAGATCTATTTGTTTCTAAAAACTTCCTATGCCCTAATTTCCCTTAGTGGGAAGAAACTTTCCAAAAGGATCTCTTGAATAATGAAGCTTTACACAGACTTTGAAATGTTGTCAAAGTTAGATTGTACAAAGGATCTCAGATGTCCAAATATCTCGGTTTTACAAAATATTTTATTTGTATTTTGCTTTCTTTGATTAGTAGGGAGTTGACTTCCTGCTGTGCTCAGAAACATAACTGGCTTCCTAAAAAGCCACACAGAACTTAGGAATACTGTTAGAAGAAATTTAGCTTTCATTTACATATTGATGCAGCTTTGGAAAATATGTCACAAGTCACTCAAATTAGAAATGTAAAGAGATTTTATTTCTATCACTTAACTTTTATTTCATTTTGTCACAGAATACTAGCTATCTCATAAATTCAAATTTGTTTGTATATAATATCACTAAAACTCCACTTGCCATAACCTGGAAATAGCACTTGATTATTTAGAAAATTTATCTGACATAAAACAGTTCTGGTAAGGATAATTTCAAGTCTGTCTGAATAAAGGAGGACAGAGTGTTAGGATGATTATTAATTGAGTAGAAAACATTTAGCTGTGTTGCATTTTCAATTGAGAATTTTCTAAAACTTAAGTCTACTCATGTAAACAGAACTTTTGTGATTAGGATGATTTCCACATTACGTTAGTCACTCAATTGGCTTACAATAAACATGGTGTCCAGCAAATGTCCAGTACCAAGAATGTCTGTTTTTAAAAGGGGAAAAAAAAAGAGAAAGATGATCCATTAAAAAATAAAGAAAAGAGTATTTGGGGCATGTTTTTATAATTTTTAAACTTTGGATTAACCAGCATTCATTTGATTTGACCAGAAGATTGAACCAATAATTTCTAATTTTTAAAATTTTACTAAAAAGAAACAGCACTCAAATTTATAGATAGATATTTTCTTCAGAGCAGTGCAAATTATTAGAAGACATGTCAAAGTGATTAGATTGCTGAATCATACTTTCCGCGAGTGGGGCTTGGAGGCGGGAAGGCATGCTGAAACTACTGCCCTTTTCAAATAATTCACAGGTGTGCTAATTGTACGTCAGATATGAAAGTCGAAGCATTGTGACCTTCAAGCCAACAAAAGCCCTTGTCAAGGAAGCCATTTTCATATACATTCATAAAGTGAACAATGCCCTTCCACAGTTAAATAATGTATGGCTTTTATTTCATTATATGTAAATGCAAATCAAGGAATTGTTTCATGGTTCACATATTAAAAGTAATGCTATAAAAAAGCAGACTATAAATCTACTTAAGTTACATTTTGTGGTACTCTACAGTTGTGATGCAAGGATATATGTGTTGTCTGCTTCTATTGTGTGCAGCTAAAGTGTGGTTTTCTGCAACTGAATGTATTTTGGATTTGAGTAGTAAAACCTGCAATGTGTTGAATTATGTAATAACCAACAGAGACGTTAGGAAGGTTAGAAAAATGATAGAAAAGCTATTTCCTTGCAGTGATGAAGACAACGACGTAACTTGTAGATCAGAGGAAACATTGCAGCTGGACACACTCAGCTGCTAGCAAGAACAATGTTGAGTAAGGGTGAGGGCCAAAGGAAGGGCAAGGAATCCCATACTCTTTCTCATGGCTCTTTCATGGTATAAAGAAAGTATCTGTAAATACTGGGTTTAGGTAATGGACCTTAAGGTGATTATTTAAAAGATCACCCATTTCACTGGAAAACAGTGCAAGTTTCAAAAGGAGTAATGTATAAGGGAACTTACGTGTTACTAATGCTTGAATCAAATTGACTGCTGGAATGTCAAACAGTGCCCATGAAGTTGTAGTAGAAAAGCAAGAACAGGAAGAAGAAATTAATTATCTTGTATTTGTCCAGCTTTGTAATATATTTGATGCTGGATAAAACATGAGCAAAGATATAGTCATGCTTAATGCAACTTAAGTATGCATGATAGACTGCTGGGGAATGAAAAAATAATAATAAAACAATTACAAACTTAAAAAAATCATAATTGTATGAGATTCCAAGAACCTGTTAGCATTCAATCCAAAGATAAACTTTTTTTTTTCCAGTCCTATAGGAAACCATAATAGTTGGCATCTTATTATGGGTTAGATATTGATACCAAGAGACTGGATAGGGTTGACTGATTCACTCATCTGTCTTCCTTTTTGTTTTAAACAATTTTCTAGAGCCCTTTGTTGTTAATTGTTTTAATAGATTCTCTGAGTACTTCCATAAAACAGATAGCAGTGACATTTATGAGAAAGCTGTTGTTTATCACTGAGATTTTTCAATGAGTATGTACATGCTCTAACTTATTTAGGATAACAAATGTTTCTGCATTTCCTTAATAATCTGAAATAATTTCCATTATTTTGGATTGTATTTAAGGTGGCAAATCTTGCTTGTTCCATGTCAACAAATGAAGATGGAATTAAAATTGTCAAAATTGCGGCCAATCACCTAGAAACCTTGTGTCCACAGGTATGATAACTAAGTTGCTGTCTCTTCCATTAAACTAACTATAAAAATTATATATAATACTTCAGACCTTTATATATATGAAAGTATATTAAGATATTTATTTTAAACACAGAAGATGACTTGTCCTAAGGTCATGATTTATTCTTTACTAAGCACCAAGTTCTTTACTTAGCACCTGGTTCTTATAACATTCCCTAAGGGACCATATCAGAATTTTCTGAGAGAAAGGTACAGTGTGAAATCAAAGCAGGGGTTTGTCCAACGATTTTATTTTTAGTCATTATTAATTTTGAAATCTCAGAATATGAAAGGAATGACTTCTTTTCCCCTCTTTTATTCAAAGAAGACATGAGTTTGAAAAAAGCCAAGAAATGTTTTCTTGTCTGCAATTCAGAAGTTTTCATTTGTTTGTTATCTGAAAAGCAACATATTTTTAGGGAATTATTTCTAGGATAGTGTCTTGAACCATGAATCAGTATACACCTAAGGGCAATCTTAAACACCTTGTCTTAGAATAATTGAGAGATAATATGGATAATTACTTCCTCATAAAGATCACAAATGTTGTAAGGATGTGAAATATAACAATGATTAGAGATTTCAAGTCTCTGGATATCTGCTGAGATTCTCATCTTTCTAAAAGTGGTATATTTATTAAATTCTTGATTTACCTTACTGATAATTTCATCTCTAAGAATATTGAGGAAACAGTAAGGGAGACTCCTCCTTTGGACTTAATGTTGATTAACAAGTAAAAACTGGCTGGAGAAGTGGGGTCCAGAAGACCTACAGCTGAGATCTCGCAACTGATGACAGTTTTCTGTGAGATCTCACTAGGAATTGGGATACTGCCGTGGGATCTCCAAAGGGGTTGAATCATTAATACTCCCCTTCCGCGGTCTAGGAGAGTTCGCGTTTCTCTATACTATGGATTGCATTTGATACTGCCACCTTTTAAAGTGCCTTTTGAATCTGAAGAGTATTAAATATATCTCATTGGTTTTCATTTATAATTTTCTGATTACTAAAGGGAACATTTTTCAAATGTTTGTTAACCATTTGGTTTTCTAACTCTGTGAATTGCCTAAATCCTTTGCTACTTTTAGTTAGGTTGTCTTTTTTTTTTTAATTACATTGCTTAGGTTTTTAAATTTAATTTAATTTTATTTTATTTTATTGTTATGTTAATCACCATACATGACATCATTAGTTTTTGATTCATTGTTTGCGTATAACACCCTGTGCTCCATTCGGTACTTGCCTTCTTTAATACCCATCACCAGGCTAATGCATGCCCCCAACCCCCTCTAGATTGTTTAGGTTTTAAAAAATATCTTCTGTTGACTATAGCTTTTCTTTTAACTTTTAAAATAATATTTTGATCACTGAAGATTTTAGGAACTTTAATGATCCATCTTTTAATTACTTCGATAGATATTTATTGAGCATCTACCCTGTATAATGATTTGTTGGTTTGTGCCTTGTTAAGAAATTCTCCCAACAAAAATGTTACATAGTTTTCACAGTTTCTTTAAAAAAGGCAGAAGTATTTTTTTTTCTAATTTATTTGACAGAGAGAGTGATAGTAAGAGCAGGAACACAAGCAGGGGGAGTGGGAGAGGGAGAAGCAGGCTTCCCCCCGAGCAGGGAGCCCAGTGCGGGGCTCGATCCCAGGACCCTGGGATCAGGACCTGAGCCCAAGGTGGGTGCTCAATGACTGAGCCACCCAGGCACCCCCAAAAAGGCTGAAGTATTATTTAACATTTAGATCTTTACTTCATCTAAAATTTATTTTTATGTCTGAGGTAGGGATTTTTTTTTTTTTTACAGTGCTAACCGTTGGGCCACCATCATGTATTAAATAGTTGATCCTTTCCCAAGTAATGTAAAATGCTATCATTGTTTCACACACATGCACAAACTTTTTAAAACATTTTTATTGTTTTATATATATTTGTATACACATATATGTATATACTATACATATTTGTAATACATGCATACATCTACATGTTTTATAAAATGCATTATACATGTATAATACATATATAACAAATGTGTAATTTATTTACTAGTATTCCATATGTAAATATAGATTGATAGGTAAATTAAAATACATTTCAAGGGTGCCTGAAAATATATATATATTTTATATATATATAAAATACCACATCTTCTTTATCCATTCATCTTTTGATGGATATCTGGGCTCTTTCCATAGTTTGGCTATTGTGGACATTGCTGCTATAAACATCGGGGTGCATGTACACCTTTGGATCCCTACATTCATATCTTTGGGGTAAATACCCAGTAGTGCAATTGCTGGGTCATAGGGTATCTCTATTTTCTGGGCTCTCTATTCTATTCCACTGGTCTATTTCTTTGTACCTGCATCAGTATTGCAGTGTCTTAATTATGATTTTATACTAAATCTGGTATCTCTAGGTAAATTGGCTCACCTTGTTTTTTTGTTGTTATTGGTGGTGGTTTTTTGTTTATTTGTTTGTTTATTGCTCTTACTTTATGCTTGTTCATATAACTTTCAAGATCAACTTGTCAAGTTCCATGAAAGTACATTAGAATTTTTATTGAAATTGTTAAGATATCTTGAATTTTAGATTATTTTAGGAGTAATGGCTCTTCAAGATACTGAGGCTTTCCATTAATAAATGTTTTATTAGTAAATGTTATTTTAAATGCTTTATGTATCTCCATAATCAATCTTTTTTTTAAATGTCCTTCAGGGGCTCTTTAGATTTTTATTATTCAGTACAATAAATTCCATGACTACATGCTGATGGCTTCCAAAATTTTCTCTCCAGGACAGATCTCTCCCCTAAAGATCACACTCAGATATAATATAGTCTTGACATTTGCGCTTTGACATCTAGAAGACATCTAACACTTTAGCCAAAATGGAACTCCTGATTGTTCCATTCGCATCTCATTCTGCTACTTCTTCAGTCTTACTGATTTTAGTTAATGGCATGGCTCTTTGCCTGGTTGCTCTTGGGAAAAACCTGTAAGCTTTTCTTTCTTTGCTCAGTAAATATTTATTGAACATATACTATGTGATAGGTATTCTTTAGGTATCTGGAGGGTAAATAGTAAAGAAAACAAACAGATGAAAATCCTTGTTCTTGTGAAGTTTATATTCTAATGATATCTAATGGCTGTTTTCCTATTGAAGCCATTAACTAGTCCTATCGATCTCATCAAAAATATTTATCTTGAATCTATATACTTTTCTCCAGCTTATCTGTCAGCATCTCAGCCTATACCACCAGCCATCATCTCTTAGACCATAGTAACATTTTATATGGTTTCCATGCTTATACTTATATCTCTTTAACCTACTTTCTATCTAAAAACTGAAGTAAATTTTAAAGATGTTTATAATAGCAATTGCTTTTCTTAGCTTTTACAGTAAAATTCAAACTTCTTTTTTTTTTTTTTTAAAGATTTTATTTATTTTTTAGGGACCGAGCGAGAGAGAAACAGCATGAGAGGGGAAAGGGTCAGAGGGAGAAGCAGGCTCCCCGCTGACCCGGGAGCCCGATGTGGGACTCGATCCCAGGACCCTGGGATCATGACCTGAGCCGAAGGCAGACGCTTAACCATCTGAGCCACCCAGGCGCCCAAAATTCAAACATTTTTTATGTCTTATTCAGACTTATATAAACTTCCTACTGCCTGACTCCCAGCCCCACCCTGAATTATTTCCCTTTTCACTCATTGGGTCTCTGCATATTGGCCTTTCTATTTCTAGAATACAGTACATTCCTTCCCATCTGAGGGAGTTTGCACATAATAATTTCCCAGTGCTTTTTTTCCCATATGGTCAGCTCCTGTTATGTTCATTTTGTAAGGACTCAGCTCAAATATCATCTTCTCAGAGATCAATCTTCATAAGTCACTCCTCCAGCTTATACCCCATTATGTCACCATATTTATTTATTTTAGAGTCTCTATCACAACCTGAAGTTATATTTTATATTATTTTTTTACTTTCATTATACATTTTCCACACTCAAACATAAAGTTCATGAAGGCAATGATTTAGTCTTCCTTTTCACTACTTACAGCCCCGTACCTAGCAGAAATGCAGCATATATAGGCAGCATATAAATGATGGTCTCTAGAATGATAAATCATTCTATATTTATAAAGGGCAGCAAGGTTTTTGGCAACACCTTTTGTGAAACTTTTCCTAACATGGTGTGTATTCTTTTTGACAACATGGAAAAAAATGACAGTATAATTAGTTTGAGTTGTAGCTCATGAAAAAAGTCCTAAAATGGCTGATTAATGTATAGTTGCTAACCAGGGGTGAGCTCTGTGCTAGTGGGCTTCAGTGATCTACTCTTGGTTTAGCTCATTTCAGTGCTCTCCTAATGATTTGGATAAGACTATAAAAATAATATTCTTAAAATTTTCAGTTAAAAATATGAGAATAAAGGGCATATATTAGCTGAAAGACTCTAGTCACAAAGAATTTGGATATTCTAGAATATGAACTAAATCTCAGTATCCAGATGAAATGTAATAGGTATAAATACTAAACCATACATATTGGGCACTATGAAACAAATTACAAAATAGAGAATGGAAGAGTTATGGCTTAGCTAAATTTACCCTTCCCAAAGCGAAGAGATTTTAGTTGATAGTAATCTTAATGTGAATCAACAGTGCAGTATGGCTGTCAGAAAAAAACCCAATATGATTTAACATCTTTTCATCAAAGAATAAATTCTAAAACTTACTCTCAACCTTCTCTATATTTCAAAATTATTCTTTAAACTGTACATATTTTAATTTAGTGCATCCTGAAATTCAGAATTAGTGGGTCTGGAGTGTAACCCAATTTTGTGTGTGTGTGTGTATAAGTGCCCATCTGTGTAAGCTCTACTTTTGCACATACATTTAGGTTCACTTATTTGACTTCCAGCAATTTATGGTATAGCTATATATGTGCACTTGCACAGAAGTCTAGTAAGGTT